CCTAAACCCTAAATCCCAAGACAAGCTGTATGCCGGCCGCCAACCATCAGAGTGTAAAGCCCACGTTTGTAGCTGGGCGGGCGTGACGGCTGACGCTCGTAGGTCGGCCATCCTGATGATGCGTCTTTGTTTAGGATGCAGGCAACCCGTTGCGGATTATACCAGTACCAATGCTAGTTGTGGGGTTCCTTATTGTAGCTATAAAATTACATACCCGGAAACCCTGTTCTAACTATATGTTTGATGTTCTCTTAATGTCGGGGCCTTCAGAAGTAGAATGGCGTGCCTTTAGGGGCTCATTCAAAGGGTTCTACTCATATTCTTGTGGAGGGTGTTCTAGGTAGGTGGGATAGGAGTTCCTCTAAACCCTAAACCCTAAGCTGCTTCAGTTGCAGGGTTCCTGGCAACTTTCACATCGGCACTCATGGCGCCTCCGTTCCGTCGTGGCTGGGCGGGTTTAGGGTTCAGGGTTTAGGGTTTAGGGTTTAGGGGCTATCAGTTTCAGGTTTCGATTTCTAGGGCCTCTAGGGCTTGCCTAGCCCAGCCCAGAGGGCCAAGTACCCAAACGGTACATATAGGGTTATGGAGTTATAGTTATAGCCCAATTATAGGTATAGCCCATTTGAGTCATTTGAGCATTGAGGCCTAGCGCAGCAGAGCAAAACATCTCTAGGAGCAGGATATCCAGCCTGTTCAGGCTTTCAGGCCACAAATCCAAACCCTGAAACCCCTAAACCCTGAAACCCTAAACCCTAAAGCCTAAAACTCGAAACCCTATAAACCTTACACCGAGAACTTTGGCGCAGGATTCTCAAGATGAGATCCCTCCTAGGGTTCCGGAAAGACTTACGTAAAGTTCACGACACGACATGGAACCTGAACCCGAAACCCATAACCCTAAATCGTTAGCCTCGGATAGTGTTGTCTCAACATCTCGCGGCAAGAGGTTAGGGCTTGCGGACTTTTTAGGGTTCAGGGACTATTTTCTAGGGTTTCGTGCTCGAGGTCAGCTGAAAGCTTTCGGGATGGGTTTAGGGTTTAGGGTTTTAGGTCTAGGGTTTTGGGTTCTGGGTGTTGGGTTCAGCCAAGGTATTTGACATTCTACGATGAGCCGTCCCCTCCACAGCAGAATATGCGGCGCTCGGGCTGCCAGTGCATTTTTTTGGCCGGGTTATGGAGAGACCCGCGATGAGCTAACAGAAGCCATTTCAGTGTCAGCTCGGCGTGTCACGAAGTTAGCGAATGTACCGTGAAGTTCGGGCAGTACGTACCCAAGTCCCGACACGATAGTCTAACATAGAAACCTAAATAGTTGCTAACGGTATCCCTTTGTAGTTCCTATATAGTTACAGTTTTCTTCTACAGTATAAAAAGACCGTTTTGTATGTTCTGTATTCATTGGGGCCCCTACTATTATTCGTAGTCGGCAGGTTGTACAGATTCTTTTGGCTGGCAGTCTCATCGAAGACTGGCACTCTACCCTACACTCTAAGCTTAAAGTCCCAAGCTCTAGACAACACCCAGGTTTCTGTTTCTCGGAACATGCGGATGTCTCAGGCACACCATCCACAAGCTGGCATTTGTGGACACAGTGGAAAACTTCTTCGTGGATCTGAAGCAGCCCATTGACAGCTCCTTTGGCTGACAACTTTTCGGAAGTTGGTAACAAACAACCCGAGAAGGTCTATAAAATATGGCAGCCTAAATCCTATAAACCCTAAACCCTAAACCCTTATAAACCCTAAACAGGCCCTACACCCCAAACCCTAAACCCCTTGAAACACAGGGCGGTCAAAACGAAGAGTAGTGGCGACCAGGCCGGGTGTTAACCTTCCTTCCAGACTAGCGCTCCTTCTGACACACGCGACCCTACCTAGACCCTAAAATGTAGTACCTTTTCTTGTGTGACCTATTTTATGGTTAGGATCCTGTAACACGAAACTAAGGTAACCCCTAAAAGGTAGCACATCTAAGGGTCTACGTAAAACCCTCTTAAGCTTTTCTAAGTGGCGCTTTGGGAAATCCCTCATGGTCCTATAGAGGTATATATAGTTAGTTCTCTAAATTAGGGTCCCTTTTTGGGGTCCTCTTTATCAGGGTGCCGTACTGTATTGAGGACCAAAAGGGGGACCCTAATTTACAGAACTGCCCACTGTTTCATAGATACTTCTAAGGGCCCCAAAAGAACCAGTCCTGAAGTGCGGAAAAGAAGTCGCAAAGCATGTGAAGGTGTGAAACCGACAAGAAATCACTGCGAAGCCCCAAACTCTGAAGCCTAACCCCAAGAGCCCTATAGTGAACCCCCAGAAAGTTGGAACATGGCTTTAGGATGATTAGTGCTGGGATTCCCTATAGCTTACCTCAATTAAGGGCATGAGGCTAATCATGGTCCAACTTTCTGGCTTCTATAGTATAGACTCCTCTACACCCTAAACCTACACCGCCCAAACCCGAAACCCCTGCAACACCCAAACCCCTCGCCCCTGAACCCTAAACCATACTGCAGTCACGACAAGTCTAGGACATTTTCAGGTGGGTAGTTGCCGTTGTAGGAGCCTTATAGAAGGTCTATATACCTTATAGAGGCCTTATGGAAGCCCTATATACCCTAAACTCCCCACCTGTAGTTGTTTCCTTGCCCTTAAACACCCTAAACCCTAAACCCCAAACCCTAAACCCTAAAAGCCCTAAGTCCTAAACCCTAAACCCTAAAAACCCTAAACCCTAAACTCCCCACCTGTAGTTTCCTTTAAACCAAGGGCCCTAAACCCTAAACCCTAAACCCTAAACCCTAAACCCTAAACCCTAAACCCTAAACCCTAAACCCTAACCCGCCCTTAAACAGGAAGCTTCAAGCCTCTCTTCGCTTCGTCGCTTAAGGCTTCGAAAGCCCCAAGGCCTTCACCTTCCAGCCCTGGACTCAAGGTTTAGGGTTTAGGGTTTAGGGTTTAGGGTTTCGGGGTTTCGGGGTTTTGTGGCTTAGGGGCTTTAGGGTTCAGGGTTTATGATGTTTATGAGCCCCCTGGACTCAGGGTTTCGGGGGATTTGGGGGATTTTGGGGGCCTTAGGGTTTAGGGTTTAGGGTTTAGGGATTAGGGGTTAGGGTTTCGGGGTTTCGGGGATTTTGGTGGCCTTAGGGGTGCTTTAGGGTTTCTGAGGGTTTCGGGGATTTTGGGGGCTTTTGGGGTGTTTTAGGGTTTAGGGTTTCTGAGGGGGTCGGGGATTTAGGGCTCAGGGGGTTTAGGGTTCACTAGGGGATTTAGGGCTTAGGGGGTTTAGAGTTTAGGTTTATTAGTTTTCTTTTGTTTAGGGGCGGGGCGGGGCGGGGGGTTAGGGATTGGGGGTGTAGGGTTTAGGATTCATTAGGGTTTGCGATTTAGGGTTTAGGGTTTAGTGTTGAGGGTTTTGAGTTTCATGGAGGGTTTAGAGTTTGGGATTTGGGTCATATTTGTTCGGGCCTAAACCTTAAACCCTAAGAGTAACTATGGAGTATACTAAGGCTGGAGGGCTTCGAGTTGTGTGTGGTTGTGGCTTGGTCGTGCTGGGAGCTGTTCGAGTATCCTTCAGTCTGTTCTGAAGGCCGCACGAGTAGCCCAACCTCCAGTCAAGACCACCCAAACTTGCAAAACCCTGATCACCATTTTTTTGAGGTTCCGAGTATGCATCCTGACGCCCCAATGTAGAATCAGAAGTTGTCGGGGCCCTACACAACAAAACGTAGGGTTTATACCTCTAAGCAGCCACAAAACACGTCACTACAGGGTCGAACCCTACACCCCAAACCCTCAACCCTAACCCTATACCCTAAACCCTAACCCTAGGCCCTGTAAACCCTAAACCCTCAACCCTAAACCCTAAACCTTAAACCTTAGGCCCTAAACCCTCAACCCTAAACCCTAAACCCCACGCGAGCCTTTGCCCTGCTTGTGCTCGACCGAGAGCGTGGGAAATTAGGCCTTGGGGTCCGAGAAGTTGTGGTTGGGGTATGGGGTTCTAGCGGTTTAGTTCCGGGTTTAGGGTTCAGAGTTCAGGGTGGAGGGTTTAGTGTTTAGAGTTTAGGGTTTATAGGGTTTAGGGTTTAGAGTTTAGGGTTTAGGATGTAGGGTTTAGAGTTTAGGGTGGAGTTCTTCATTTCTGCTGGACTTCCTTCTAGAGGTCTTTAAACTGCAGAAAGTGCCACCTCCGGGCAACCCTGAAAGCCTAGACTCGACACCCGCGTCCTGAAAGTCTTTGCCTCCTGAAAAATCTTGCCTTTAGCGTTTAGGGGTTTAGGGTTTAGGGGTTCAGGGTTTAGGGGTTTAAGGGTTAAGGGTTTGGGGTTTAGTGTGTAGGGGTTTAGGGCTTAGGTTTTTTTTCGCAGGACCCCATAAGGTAACCCAAAAAGGAGTTACAATGGGGGACTAGAGGTATACTCCCAGCCTTAAGCCCCAAAGTGCAGCTTCCAAGACTGCTCGGAGCTGAGGTATTATCTGATGATAACACCCGTGAGCATTGAGAATGCGACCTGCCTGCAAGTTCAGTTAAGGAGCCCTGAACCCTCAAAGCCTCGCAACCCTAAAAGCCCAGAAGGAGGACGCCCTACTCTTTAAACTCTCTAAGCTCCCTAAAGCCTAGGCCTAAACCCTGAATGAACCCTAAACCCCCCAAACCCGGAATGAACCCTAATCCCTTACAGTCCGCAAGCGCTAAACCCTAAACCAAGATCGAAGAAGCACGTACAAACAAAGCCTCAAAATCTGCACAGCGGTGGAACGAAGGCTGAAGCTTAGCCGTTTCTCCGAAACGCCGCGACTCCGTAGTTTTGAGAAATTTCGGGGGTAGAGGGGCCCAGGCCTAGGCCCCGACTTGCCAATATTAGGGTTTAGGGTTTAGGGTTTAGGGTTTAGGGTTTAGGGTTTAGGGTTTAGGGTTTAGGGTTTAGGGTTTAGGAAGGTAGCTTGAATCAACTCACGATCCTACTATAACTTAATTATTCCTTAAGATAAGGGCTTTTGGAAGTTTTGGTGGGTTAGGGTGTAGGGGTTTAGGGTTTTGGGTTGAAGGGTGCAGGGATTATCAGGGTTTAGGGTTCGAGCAGGATTTCGGAGAACACACCAATATAGAAGACTCAAGAATTACCTACATTATTCTATGGTGCTCCTTATTTTAATTATAATTTTCAAGGAGCCCAAAACCCTATTCTAATTATTAGGGCCCCTACGTCATGCCTTTAGACTTTTACTCATCGGCTTCCTAAAGAACACCCAGAAGCCTCAGAACTAGAGGCTGTTTCTAGAACCTCTGCTTTTTAGGGTTGAGGGCTTTAGGGTTTAGGGTTTTAGGGTTTAGGGTTTGAGTCCTACAACACCGGAATTGCTAAAGCCCAAGAAACGTAACAACTCCACATCAAAAATGCCCTAAATCGCAGCCAAACTCTAAATCCTGTGTTTTCTTGGAGCCATCGAACTCCGTCGAAGCCCGAAAACTCGAAAACCAAGAACCCTAAACCTTACCCTACCCAAAGGGTCCAAGGTACCTATGTAGTAGCATGTAGGGTTTCTATAGTAAGAATCCTTATGAATGCATCCCCCCATCACAGAACAAGCAACCCCCACAATGGCATTGGTAATTATTTCGGCCCGTATTTTAAGCCTGGGTCTAAGGGTTGGGGTGTAGAGCCTTAAACCCTAAACCCTAAACCCCTTTAAGCTAGGCAAATCCGCAACTTACGAGGCGAAAGGGCCGGCTTCTTATGGCTACCGGTCTCTCGGCTGAAAACTGTTCGGGCGTTTCATCGAGAGCCCTCTGACAAAGCATACTTGGAGGATCATGGGACTTAGTAAGTAAGGTTATAAGTACTTTAATAGGAGTTATAAGTAGATATAACTATAGTTACCGTATCCATAACCCTAATTACTAAGTCCCATGATCCTGTAAGTATTGGACCTCAGTAGTATTAACAGCAACAGCTGTACTTGTAGTGATGGGCAAAACACAAGAATATCCAAGCATGGTAATGTAGGGGCCCCAATAATTACCTATATGATAAGTATACCAGGAAGGACCCCAAAACCCCATTCTAAATATTACGGCCCCCTACATTAAAGAGAAGCGGTTCAGAGAATGCCAGTAGTGACCATAGTTACAAAGACCACTCCTGCAGGTTCCTGCATGTAGCTAGGGGATAGCAGACCCCCCCCCCCGTGGCAGGGTAGACGATGTATAATGTGTCGCGCCCTGTTTTGCTTCGAAGTACAAGGGGTGACCCTGGAACTCGAAAGACCGTCCGACCGTCCCCGGAATGTGCGTTGCATAAAAGATATTCCCTGAATGGGCGCTGCCTTTCACGGTAAAGGGTTGTTCCTTAGACAACTTCTGGAGCAAAAAGTAACCGTGGAGGCAATCGATATCGCTCAACTCATTTTTCATCTCCCTTCATCGCTTCATCCTCGCTCGCACAGCAGCCACGATTGAGCCTCGGCGCAGCACCGGATCCCGGCAAAGTTCGAGTGGATGCAGAAGACAGGGGGTTGAGGCCCGAGTGTGCATATTCTGCATCCACATAGTCCCAGCCGGCGAGGCATCATCCTTTTCATAGACCGGAGCCTGCACTTGCAAGCAAGGATTGGAACCATCGCATATGAAGACTTAT